TTTTTTGGGATTTTTTGTTTTGTTCCGTTTTGAACGCCTGATACTCGCATCTTGCTGAGCAAAGTTAACTCGAGATGTTTTCGAAAGTTCATCAAGTTGACTCGACTGTTTCCCTAACCGAAGCATTCGAATGCTTTCATTCGATTCTTCCCATCAGCAAACTAACCAGCTTTAGACATGAACAAATTAAGCTAATCTAAAAAGCAATGCTTTGATCACCAAACTGCTATTTGCTCTTTGATTCGAATGGTTTTGTGTCCTTATTTCCGGTTTTTAACCAATTGGGATGTCGGGAGGATTCAAGATTGGTCGATCGTCTCGGTCTTTATTGCATTGTTCAGTGTATTGCTATTTTTTCTGTTATCTCAGGTAATAAAGCACCATTTGCTTTGATTTGACTACCTACTCTGTATCGAATGAATTTACTCTTAACAAAATGAACTCGAGCAGTTTTCGCCCGTTAATCGGGTTAACTCGACTCTTCCCTTAATCGAACCATTCGAACGATTTCGATTCGAGTCGACTCGTCCCATCAGCAACCTCAAACGCTTTAAATTTGCGAAAATTAGACTCATTGAGTAATCAATAGAAGTGAAATAATCTCAGCTCAGTTTCCGATGAGGTAACGTATTGACTGGAACAATTCCTCTCGATTAGCGTAACGTATAGAGAGGTCCAGTCAATTACCGTCAATCCTGCACATCCATATACCTCTATCCAGATTGTGAGCCGGGAACGCGAGCAGACGGGGAACGGGGAATCTATTTCTGGCAGCTACTTTTAAGGATTGCGCGAAATCAACACTCGGGCATCCCGAACTTACTTAAGTAGGCCGTTGGCCAATTATTCTTCAGTCGCGGGTGTTTCTGAGAGAGCAAACATCAACGATCATGGTAAGTACAACCGAAAACTTCTGGATACTCCTATGCGGAGGCTTTGTGCTATGACAGTGCTATCGTCTGCGACAACTCAAGTGCCTTTGGTGGAATATTTGGTGCCTTTTTCGTGATTGAGTGATAGAGTATGAGTGTGGCTTTGGTTATCTTCTGAGAGAGTGTAAGAATTTTTCCACTTTTCCACAAGTTGCTATTATTGCAAACTATTTTTCTTTAATTGATGCATGGTTGGAGTCAATGGAAGTTGTGGGGTGTTTTTTGCGTTAAATACTCCCACTGTGCCTGGATTATTTCATGCCTCAATTCCGTGCTGAAAGGTTTGAAAATATATCCTGAATGCTGGACGAAAATAGCCGCTTCGCTGGTAATTCCTGGCAGCGCTCCATATTCTATAAATATCCAGGAGTAACTCAATCGTGGACCTCGTCAAAGGGAGCTATTTTTAAACTGTTTATGTGGGGCAAAAATGGGTCGAACTGGTTATGTGAATTTGAGGGGCGCCGCAGGCAAACTTGGACAAATGACGAAGGAACTAAAGTACCGAATTGCAATCATTGCAGGCGGACAAGGAGAAGAAGGTTAAGAAGAAGAAGAAGGAAGACGCAGGTGAAGCGCCTGCTGCCGCCCCAGCTCCTGCAGCTGAAACCCGCACCTCATCCAAGAGCTCCTCGAAGAGGGCGAAACGTTCCGGATCCAATGTCTTCTCCATGTTCTCGCAGGTTGGCTTTAGTGCATTTTTTCGCTGAGCCTCCATCTACCCAGAATTTTTCCTCCTGCAGAGCCAAGTGGCAGAGTTCAAGGAAGCCTTCCAGCTGATGGACCATGACAAAGATGGCATCATCAGCAAGGAAGACTTGAGGGCCACCTTCGACGCTGTTGGTAAAATCGCCAGCGAGAAGGAACTGGACGAGATGGTTCGCGAAGCACCTGGACCAATCAATCTCACGCAGTTGTTGGGCCTTTTCGGTTCTCGTATGGCTGATTCTGGTGGTTCGGACGATGACGATGTTGTCGCCGCTGCCTTCAGGTCTTTCGACGAAAACGGAACCATCGACAGCGAAAAGTAAGCCGATTTCACCCGAACAACCCTTGTCTGTAAACCATGGAGAAAGTAAAATAATATACTTATATTTTATATTTTTACTTACTCTATGCTGTAAACTAACTGCTTTGCTCTTGCAGGTTCAGGCACGCCCTTATGACCTGGGGTGACAAGTTCTCAGCCAAAGAAGTCGACGATGCATTCGATGCTATCGATATCGACGACAACGGCAGAATCGACACTCAAGGAGTCATCACTCTCCTCACTGCCGCCGCTGAGGAAGAGGGAGAGGGCGAAGCCGCCTAAACACTTTCATCACTCAAAGACACTTTGCCACTGAAAACCCGCGAACGGCTGTCACGTGACACTAAAGGAGCTCATCATTAAGATCTTTTTTTTTTGGTGTGAGATGTGCACAACTTGCTATGGGTCGCCCCCTACATCGCAGCGATCAGTTTAATTTTAAAATAAATTTACTTTCTTAATAAACAATTACATTTCCTGTATGCGTTTCTTTTAGGAGCATTCGTTCGCCCATACCATTATTTAGATCGCCGCAATTGAAGTTTCCAAGTAAATCAAGCGGAGATGAATCGGGAAAGCGAGCAGGCCTGGACCTGGACCCAATATTCATTTCAATTCAACCGCTAGGAAATATGAAGAGGTTCTACGATGAAATTATTGTTTGGAGGCACGTTGTCTGCTCGAATGTTCATATTTCTTACACAGAAACCTTAAGGCAATGATATTCGTATTAGCTTTGTTCAAATACTATACATTCGCTTTCCACTGTCCAAGAACTTGAACTAATTTGTTTTTAAAACATTGTTGGTTGATTTGCGTACAATTCAAAATTCACTGAAGAAATTGTTTTTCTAAACAAACCTTCTAACTCGTAAAATTTTCGAGATTCTACGAGTTCGTAAAAAGAGCTTTTTTCCTCCTGCGAAATATGCCTCTGAACTAAAGAGTTTCGAACTTTTAGACCGTTGGTCAATTGGATTCCAACGTTTCGCGGCCACGCATGGCCACCGTCTTCAACAGTATGCAAACTCTACAATCCTGAGCATCTCTGAGTATCGCAACCGCCAGGAAGAAACTCACCAGTTCCAAGCAATACGAGAGCCAAACTCCTTTGATAAAACTTGGAAATTATCCAAAAACTCAGTGTTTAGAATCTATAATTGGTAAATAGGCGCATGAATTCATCAAAATACCATTAGAAGTTATTTGCTTAATGAGTTGGCAGGCAATAAAGGAATGTTGACCAGGATTCAATAACATTCCAGCTTGGAAGGCATGAACACTGTACTACTTACGCTGGAGTTTGTTGCCATAATCCTACGTGTTTGTTAGGATTGCTAGATTAACGTTTACACTTTTAAATAAACACTTTGAAATGTTCCATGTTGTGAATAGTGTTTATCTTCATCACGTTCATGAATGTTGTGTTTTCTCTGGATAAATGATAACGAAGAAATTGCAGTTGTATACTTGAGATGATCCTGCTTGAGGTCAACTTAAGGGCCGGAATCAATGGAGGGAAAATTAATAAAAAAATGAAATGTTTGCTTCAAAGTGTTCAAGCTGCGTTTCATCTTCTGCCAATTTGCCATTTTTTTATATTGCCAATGAAAGTTTCGCAATCTCTGCGAATGTTGAAGCGGAGCCTCACCACTTACTAATGAAGATGGCGGATACGCAAAAAGTTCTTCTTCTAGATGAATTATTGTCGCAAAATGAAAAATCTGTGGAAGAAATAAGGTGAACTAGTTTTGAGTAAAGTTAACAATTACAAAGAAAACATTATTGCACAGTATATACATTCAAAAACAGTTTAATTTGTGAATTTGAAAAATAAAGTCCAATTGCAAAGTTGCTCTATTGCTGCTAAATTTGTTAAATTATGTGCAAAGGTCGTTTGTGAAAACACACTTTAGTCAGGTTTTTAAAGATAAGCCTTAGAGCTGTATTTTTTGCATTTTAATAATTTAATAAAACAGTAGTGAATAACGAAAAGCGTGTACTTTTCTAGTGTAATTTTCCATAAATCCGCCATTAGAAACTGAAAAACGCATTTTTCATAGAAACACAATTTTAAAATGTTACAAATTCTTGTATAGAAATTAGTAATAACGTCTAGATACCATTTCCTGAATTAATCTCTCGAAACAAGCATAAACGGAAAAATCGAAATATTTTGTATTTTATTTCATTAAAACTTGAACATCCAGTATAATATTAAAAGTTTTCATTCTACCTTTCGATCGCTAGTTTTTCCTATCTTCGTCAATGGCGTTTAATAAAAAAGATCCTGAATATGAAAATGTAGAAGGAATTTAAAAGTGGAACAAAAATTCTAAGAAACTCACTTTGCCTTTAGCAGACTTGTTCGTTTGCTCGTTTTGTCGTTGTTTTTTTATCATTTTTCCACCATTTTTTTATAATTTTTTTTGGTATAAAAACGGGGGTTGATGAGTGCAGTTTTCAACAGGTTTTCGAAAGTGTTGAAAATGGGCGATTTTACATAACTAATGAACCTTCTAAGTCAGAATGTATATTTTTTCGATTATTTTTTCCACTTCCTCAATTCACTAGTTGGCCCTTTTTTCCGTTCCAAATTTGTTACATTTTTTGGAAACGTTTTACTTCTGCAGTTGCACTTGCGTAAGTAAGCAAAATACTACACAGAAACTCTAAAAATATCGAAAGTGAGAGCGACTTAAAGACAAAAAAAAAATCAAACTAAAAAAAGTCACATGCGTTTTCCATTGCAAGCCAGACCCATTTGAGGTAAAAATGTATTAAAACTTTTGAAAACTCAGGTAAATGTACAGCTTTATGCATTTCTTGTTATTGAAACTCAATCACCCCGTATAATATTGAAAGTTTCGGTTCTACTTCTACTACGTCTACAAAAGCACAAGAAACTAACTTTGCGTTTGAAAAACTGGTTTCTTTGTTTTTAATTTTATTTATTTATAATTTATAACTTTCATAATTTCTAGGTACACACAACAACAAACATTGAAAAAATTTAAGAAACACATGGGCAATGACGAGAATACGTACAAAGTATTTCATTTAGAGGAATCCCTGTCGAAGGCTGAGCAAATCATGAGAGAAAAATTGTGAAAAAGAGGCATTTGAAAGCCGGTTGAACAAGTTTTTAGCAAAGTTAGTAATGAAGTGTAAGTATGGCGTTCCAGAAAGTGTTAAAAATGGGCGAGTTTACATGAAACATTAACGTCCTAAGTTAGATTTTATATTTTCTCGATTAATTCTTCCACTTATTTTTTTTTTGTTTCTAAATTTGCTACATTCTGTGGAAACGTATTGCTTCTGAAATTGCACTTGAGCAAATTGTGACTTAAATGATAAACAGATTATGAAGAAAAATAAGGACAAGAAACTAAAAATATTGAACAAAATGAGCGGTTTAAAAAAAAAAATGTTGACAAACTGAAATTAAATCACATGCGTTTTCCATTGCGAGCAAGACATAAAAATATCATAAAAAATAAAAAAGTGAGTTACAATTATTACAAAAGACAACTTTTTGAATACTTATTGAACCTGTTTAGGTAATCTGAAAACTTTCAATTCAACTTTTCCATATAATTTTTTTGTTTAGCGCAGAGCGTTGCTGATGGGACACCCAGTATATGAAGACATTTGATTGAAAAGAAGAGAAATCAATATAATTTTTTCCTCAAATTAACTTCTCTGAACATTGGATGTTGGCCAAATCAAACCGTTGGTAACGTCATCATATTTCTCCTTATTCCTCGTTCCCTGTTTTCCCTCAGTCATCGACTTGGACTCTATATTTTCCGCTGATTTTTCCAAGAAAGTGCTCCCAAGGCATCGGCCCCGTCAACAGCCCATTGGTTTCAATGTAGCCGAGTGGCACCAAATTTCGAAATACATTCGGTTTGTGATTCAGTTTATTTAGTTTCCGCCGCACGTCTGGACGAACAAAATTGTTTTGATGCGTTCTAAAAATAAAAGGTGTTTGATAAAGTATTTTCGAAGAAATCGGAGTGTCACCTCGCTTCCAAATGGCCTCTAATAGTGTGGCAAACACCCCATTGCCCAGCGAAGGCAGCAGAAGGGTGGCGTTTGCCTACCAAAATCACACCAGGTCGGTGGACAATTCGTCCATTAAATCAAGCGCTCCATCGCAGCGCTATGGAAGAAGGGCCTCCGTTTTCCTGCTGGAACATTTATCCGAGGTGAAACACGCTGGCTTGGGAATAGGGGAGAAATGCAACGTGTGGATGTACAGCAAGATCAAATTTCTGAGCAAGAAGTGGTTCACTCACTGTTTCCTGGTCATTGTGATGATCCTCTACACAGTCGGTGGCGCCGTGATATTTTTAACAGTGGAAGGTAAATATTTACGCTCTCGGTTAAACAAAATCGGTTTTATTAAAACCCTAAAATCAAACTATAATTAATTGTTGTTGTCGATGACGTGCTTCAGCGACGGCGTGACGTCATTTTGCGTCATCTCACCTACTAAAAGACCGAATTAATCACAAAATCAAGTGGTGTTATAATAACCAAGGCGGTGCTAATTTTAGATGGGAATTTGAATGACCTGGAGATGCAGACAAGAATTGATTTCGATAGTTTTTGCCAATCTTTTCATGGCAGACTTGCATAGTTTTACAATGTCCAGCATCGGGCGCAAATATTTCAAAATATCTACCTATTAATAGAATGCGAATGATGAATGAACACTTTAATATGCTTATTTGGAAACTTCTTGAGTCAGAATCAATCCATTGCGTTCAAAAAACACGCATGTACAATTTAGATTATTTACCGAAGTTTTCATAAAGTCGATTATTTCGAAAAATATGTCTCTTAAAATTCCTGGAATTTAACAACATTTTTRTCACAAGAAAGCGAGGAAAGTAAAGTGCTCGTGGGAAAAGGGGACATTTGTGRTCTATTKTAAGCGTTTTKTGATCTTCTAAGACTTTTAGCCATCGGTGTTTTTKTTGCTATAAACTCTAACACAAGGGCGGATCYAGGGGGGGTCATGGGGGTCATGMCCCCCCCCCTTATTYAATTCTCTATCCAACGATGCCAAAAYGAATTCTCTGGCTYGAATGGTTCTTGAGAAACTTCGAAAAAAGCAGCGTCATGTTCAAGTGGATTTTGCAACTAMAAAAAAAACACGCAAATCTGAAACTTCTTGAATTCAAGCATTTTTTGARAAAACTGCCAACAATWCCCCWYCATGGTTCACTTTCTARAAAGGCCATTTATTTCTGTCTAGAATGATGTACAAATGAGCSKTCTTGCTCATTTTGCCTCCGAGAAATGAGCAAAAACGGGACRGAAAACATGAAATTTTGGCATAATCTTGCACGTAAGTGTCTGATATTCAAATTTGGCTTTCTGGGTCAAAACTACTCGAATTTCCTCACTCACGTTGTTACGACTGAATCGAGTTTTCAATTCTCTAGCCAATGATGCCAAAACAAATTCTCTGGCTCGAATGGTTCTTGAGAAACTTCTAAAAAAGCAGCGTCATGTTCAAGTGGATTTTGCAACTAAAAAAAAACCACGCAAATCTAAAACTTCTTGAATTCAAGCATTTCTTGAGAAAACTGCCAACAATTCCCCATCCATGGTTCACTTTCTAAAAAGGCCATTTATTTCTCTCTAGAATGATGTACAAAGGAGCGTTCTTGCTCATTTTGCTTCCGAGAAATGAGCAAAAACGGGACGGAAAACATGACAATTTGGCATAATCTTGCACCTAAGTGTCCGATATTCAAATTTGGCTTTCTGGGTCAAAACTACTCGAATTTCCTCACTCACGTTGTTACGACTGAATCGACTTTTCAATTCTCTATCCAACGATGTCAAAACGAATTCTGTGACTCAAATGGTTCTTGAGAAACTTCGAAAAAAGCAGCGTCATGTTCAAGTGGATTTTGCAACTAAAAAAAATCACGCAAATCTAAAACTTCTTCAATTTAAGCATTTTTTGAGAAAACTGCCAACAATTCCCCATCCATGGTTCACTTTCTAAAAAGGCTATTTATTTCTGTCTAGAATGATGTAAAAATGAGCGTTCTTGCTCATTTTGCCTCCGAGATATGAGCAAAAACGGGACGTAAACATTAAATTTAAACAATAACCTTACGCCACTCTTGCACAAAACGACGATAATTTTTCTAAATTCATAGACAACAGAAGACTGTATTTTTTCTACATAACCCCCCCTGACTTTAAAGCTGGATCCGCCTCTGCTCTAACACTTTAGATGTGCTTATGTGGGAGCTTCTTGAGTAAGAATCAATTCATTGAGCTCAAAAAACATGAATGCGCAATTCTTGTTTTTGACCGAAAATTTCATAAGAGGTGGAGATCGAGTTTTTCGAAAAATATAAAGTCCCTCTAAAACGCTTGAATTTACATGATTTTCCTCACAAAGAAACGCAGAATGCGATGCGAACATTGAAAAAGATGCTGGAAGCTTCAGATCTAAAATAAGTGATAATTTAAGTCTATTTCAAGCGATTTTTGTTCTAATATTTTTAATCATCGATATCTTCCTTGCTATAAACTCAAACGCTTTAAATATACATATTGGGGATTTTCTTAGATCGCAAAGAGTCCATTGAGCTTAAAAAACACGCATGTAAAATTTCGATTTTTAACCGAAACTTTCATAGTGTGGAGGTCGATTTTTCGAAAACTATCAAGTCTCTTGAAATTCCTGGAATTACATAATTTCCATCACAAGAAAGCGAGACAACTAAAACGCTCGCTGAAAAACACACCAGAAGCTACAAATAAAAAAAAGCGACATTTGTGGTCTATTTTAAGCGGTTTTATGATCTAAGATTTTTGACCATCGGGATCTTTCTTGTTATAAACTCTAACACTTTAAATGGGCTTATTTGGAAGCTTCTTGAGTAAGAATCAATTCATGGAGCTCAAAAAACTTGAATGAGAAATTTTGATTTTTTTCCGAAAATTATCATAAAAGATAAAATTTCCTAGAGATCGATTTTTTGGAAGAATATCAAGTTTCTCAAAATGCCTCGAATTCTACTTCGTTTTCCACACAAGAACGCGAGAAATGTGAAACACCCCAGAGCTTCAGCTGCAAAATAAGTGACATTTTTGTCCATATTTAAAGAGAATTTTGGTCGCCTACAATCAAGTTCTCAGGTCAGAAGCAATGCATTTTTGACCGAAAATTTCATGAGCAGTAGTGATAAGATTTTAGAAAAATATCCTAAAGGCACGTCTGTCTTGCACTAACACGAACAGTGAAGCCCAGCAGAGGTCATAAAATGCGTTTTCCTCAGTAAACTTTTCCAGGTCAAAACGAAACGAAACTAATTGAACGAGACATCGAACTCCAAGTCAAAGAACTGCTAAACGAGCTGCGATATAAATCCCTCAGTGTGCCTGAGCAGTTTTCCGAAAAAGAATGGTCGGGAGAAGCAGCTAGACGACTAGTGAAATTTGAACGCAAAATCACCTTGGCATTTCAGCAACATCCCTTGGTAGTTTCCCACACCAACGGTAGAGTGTGGACTATATGGAATGCTGTAGTTTACTGCTCTACGCTCTACACCACCATTGGTAAGCCTTCGCCCAACCGAACAACGTAGCATTTGCCTAATCCAATCCCTAATGGCAGGTTATGGGCACTTGTATCCTACCACATTCACTGGTAGAGTGTTAACCATAGTTTATTCCACTATTGGCATTCCATTGTTCCTGATTGCTCTTACCGACTTTGGGAAACTCTTCACCAGAGGAATCAAGTTTGTGTGGTCGTATTTCCGCACGTTTTACTACACGAGAAGTTGTCGAAGAGTCAGGAAAACTAGTCATGTGCAGGTAGGACGCACACCCACAAAACACTCTGTATATAGAGCAATTTAATTTAAATCCAGGAAATCATCAAAGGTGCTCAAGTGATGTACGAATATGCGACTTTCCGAAGAATGTCCACATGGGGAAATGAGGATGAGAAGCCCAAGCCAGAACCAGACACTCCGAAGCCTCAATCTGCGGTTGTTTTAGAGCCTCAAACCCCCGCAATTTCTTCATTTGAAATCGATGACGAATTCAACCTTCCCATCACCCTGGCGCTGATTCTACTGGTAGCGTACATGCTAATAGGAGCGGCAGTCTTCATGGTTTGGGAGAAATGGGACTTTTTCGCTTCATTCTATTTTGTCTTCATGTCCATGTCCACCATCGGGTTTGGTGATATTGTTCCTGAACAGCCCACTTATATGATCCTCTCCATTGTCTATTTGTGCTTCGGACTGGCCCTGATGACGATGTGCATCAATGTGGTCCAAGACAAGCTGAGCGACACTTTCAGTCACGCCTCTGCTAGAATCGGAGAAACCATTGGAGTTGATCTGGAGGAGGGAAGCAAAGACAGTGAGGACAAATCTAGTGATAAAAATGAGGATAAAGATGCGCAAGATGAAGCCAATTTGGTTAATGAGAATGCAAACGGACAGAGGATTCAAGTGGATGATTCGCCGTTTAACTGGTCAACTGCACAGTTGGTTAGTTAGTAGTGAAACTATGCTGCCATTTACAAGCGGAGGGCCACTGTTGGGATGGAAGGAAAGATTCTTTGATATTTTTCTGAAAAATGTGGAAAAAGTGAAAGTTTCCTTGGAACATGGTTTTCTTCTTGGCGCTGTGTTTTATTTAGGTATACATAAAGGTAGATTTTAAAAATGTTTTGTATCTGCGTTATTACTGTACAGTTTTTAGGTGTTTTAATACATGTTATCTATGTTGTTCGTTTGCCTCAAGTGCATTCAACATTTTCTTATCGGTTTTTTATTCCTGAAAAAGCACTCAACATGAGCTAAAGCTGGCTGCATTACAAGGGGTTGAAATGTGAAGAAAACTGATTTTTTTTGGAAAACTTATGCAAATTTTCAATCAATAATAAATTTCAGTATTTCATTTGTTGAGGTTATGCCTTTTGGGAAATCAAAAGTATTTTTCATCCGGCAATTATTTGCTTTTTTTTTTAGAAAAACCTTAGCAAATTTTCAGTCAATAATGAGTTTGATGATTTCATCCCTCAAAATCACACCTTAGGAAAAACAAATGTCTTTTTCACCCAGCAATTGTTAGCACGTACAAGAGGTCGAAATTTGACAAAAAGTACTTTTTTCGGAAAGCTTAAGCAAACTTTCAGTCAATAAAAAGTTAAAAAATGTCCTCGGTTAAAATCACACTTTAGAGAAATCCAATGTGTTTTTCACCCGGCAATTATTCGCTTATACAGAGGGTTGAAACCTGAAACCTAGAAGAACCTAAGCAGGTTTTCAGTCGAAAATAAGTTTGATGACTTCATGGGTTAAAATCACACCTTAGAGAACCCAAATGTGTTTCTCACCCGGCAAATATTCGCACTTTTAAACCCGTTTTTATTTGCTTAAATTAATTAAACACTTTATTTTAGCACTAGGGGATTTCTGAGAATGTCGGCTATAAAATTATCAATAGCAATAAATATGTTTAACTAGGCGTTTAAATATTTTACGTGCGAAACACAATAATTGTGAAGTACCGATGTTGGTTCTCCGGATATTTAACAACTAAATATAGTTTCCTGCTAATATCTGAATATTAAGCTATTAGCCAATTTGTGAAACTGTTTAAAATACTTTGGGTTTTGCCCATGGATGCAGACAAACAAGCAAGAAGGACAAAAACTCAAACACGTTTAGAGTAAAAATAAAGCGATGCTCCAGAAGGAAAATGTCGTCCTAAGGTTTCACTAGCACGAGTGGCGTTTATCTTCAGAAGTGGTAAAAATAAAACATCGAAATTGCCAAAGAAAAGTCAGCAACCCATCAGGGATTTTTTAAACAGTATTTGAAGACAAATATGTACATAGTTTAATGCTCTAAGCGATTTGTGAAACGTTCAACCAAGAAAGACAAATCTAAGCGACATTTTGCGTAAACAGGCGAAGAATACAGAGAAGTTCAATAAGAGGAAAGAAATGAAATAAATTTCTCCCTGAATGAGAGAAAATGCATCGGAATGAATGAAGAAGCAAAATAAGCATTAGAAGAAAAAAACGTTTTACGACGGTTGGCCTGAAGCCCGATTAACCCAAACAGCAGCAATGTCTTCCTAAAGTTTCGCTAGCACGAGTGGCTTGCAGCTTCAGAGATGGTAAAAGTAAAAAAGCCAAATTGCTGCTACACTTTTGATGGCGTTTCCAAATAAATCATCAACCCATCAGGGATTTCTAAAACAATATTTCAAGTACATAATTTAATGACTACGAGGAAAGTACTAAACAAGAGGTAATGACGACAAGATCAACGACCATGTGACTATCGATATATCATTGCGTAAATTGGCTGTTATATAATGGCTGTACGCAAATTAGTCTACAGCAATGAAATTTCGTTACAACGTCCAACAGCTAATTGATGGGATAATGTCGCAATGTGCATATTGTCGTCTTCCAAAATTGCGTTAGTTTATTATTAATCGCGTGTCACTTCAGTCACCTAAATTAATGTAAATAGTAAATTTTGTGGACAGAAAAAATGCAAAAACGATCTCACACTCGAGACCTCTCTAATTATTCGATCGAAATAATGCGTCTACAAGTTCACGTTTTCCTTGGACCATGAACCACCGGCAAAACAGCGAACTTTGTAAAAAACACAATTAATAAAACAATTAAAACAACTTGGAGGAATTGTGTCAATATTCATTTATTTTCCATCGTAACATCTCTTTGATGGCACATTGTGACATTAACATTCATCACGCAATAACTTTCTTACGTTGACTCGGCAAAGTGGAAGCAATTCATGCCCTAAAGGTGCAGTGAAAGTGCTATTTTCGTTTAAACCTGCGCTTTACATAATTTTTAACCCACTTTTTGAATTCACGTAATCGATTTTGTGTGGACTTTGTGCATAATGCGACTTTATTCATTCTGTTAACCGGATTATTAACTGTTCTGTTTGCCACTTGTTTTATTCGTGATTTAGACTTTCTACAACGATTAATTTGTCTTTTTTAAATTGTATGCAGAGGTCGTTATTAAGACAAAACATATTGGTAACCTTAATAAACCGTCAAGATAATACCAAAAAAAAAACCATTATCTTCAATCTAGTTAATTGGCTGGCATTACATATAACATGAATGTTTACTTGTATAGCTAATTTTCCTTCTTCTAAATAATTGTTATGCATAATTGCCTCAATTCACTTCAAGGAAAAATCCACGATAATTAGCATTCCGTCTCAATCGTTACTTCAAACAGGATCATCATCGCCCAGGTTTATTTGGCGAAAATTGCCATTGATTTCCCAAAGGAAATGCTTAACATCTACACGCCTTTATCCGTTACTCAGACCACCCGTATTTCTAGCCATTCACCGGGTGGTTGGGAGAACTGCAAACAGCAAGCTTTAAATAAATTTATATTAATATCCGACTGATTTGCAAACAAAATTGGATATAATTAGGCATGTAATTTTCCTTAAGGTAGCTGCGGTCTGATTAAATAACCAATCGGTAATAACTTGGGAAGCGGAAAGTAAAAGTCTATCGATATTACCAAGAAACAATGGAATCGCGATTTCTGCAAAGTCACAGCATCACCTACACGTTGCCGTTAAGTTAACAATAAATGAGTCGAATCTAGACGGTCTAGTTGGGTTTATAGAATGACATTGTTTCACTTAATCCATTATGGCACGTAGATCTGATTTTTTTCAGAAATTCCGTTCACTTCAAGCGCTAGTTTTGCTCACAAATAGAAAAACTTAATCTCATATTAACCCATGGTTCACTAGAGTATAACTGCAAGTAACTGGATACAGTAATTATTTACAGAGAGGTTCGCTTGATTAAAAATTGGTTCTTGAGTGAGTGCATGTTGTCCCTTAAAGTTGGCAATTGAAACTTTTAATTAATTAATTAATCGTTTAACACTGTTCTAGTTTAGTACCAATAATCGATCCTTATCAGTATTAAATGGGCTAATTTTTCTGCAACCAAACATTTCATCAACTTAACCATGACATATAATAACAAGCGAAAAATTCAATCTAGTTGTTTCATCATGTGACGCATTTTGAATATTAAACCGAAATAAAACATTGCCGGCCAAGTCAATGATGGGCTGAAAATGAATGTTGTTTCGCAGTTAGACGCCTTCCTTTAAAACATTATAATTTCCAACGCAAATGAAGCAGCAACTTGAAATTTTTATCTTCTATTGAGGACTTTTGAGTCCAAAAGTCCTGAAAAATTTAGTAGAATCTGATCAAATACTGATTGGCCATCCACGTCAATGCTGGGCTGAAAATGAATATTGTTAGGCCATTGCATGTCCTTATTTAAATATGTAAAAGTCCTAGCGCAACTTTCAAGTTGAAAATTTTATACTCAATAGAACGTTGCCGAATCTAAAAGTCCTCAAAACTTCAGCGAAATTAAAATAAACCCTGATTTTTGCCAATGTTGGACTAAAAAAAAATGTTTCCACACAATTGCACTTCTTTGAAAAACTCCAAACCCCAGGCATGCACCAACGTGACTATTTCCGCATCTGTAAAATGCTTTTTGCTCGGAAAGTTTGGGAACTTTCAGATTTTTTGATTTTTTTCATCCAAGACCATTCTAGGTTAAAAACGAATATTTTTACGCAATTACATGCCACTTTCAAAAAATCACAACTTTCCACTGAGGCCAAGTAGCACCGTCAAATTTTCGGATTTTATTTTCGGGAAATTTTAGGAAATTAAAATAAATATTTATTTTTGCCAGTCAAATCAATTCTATTCTTCTATCTCAAGATCCTAAAAGTTGCCGTTGAATCTAAATTAATCCTGAATTTTTTTCAGCCAAATTAATGCCGGGCTGAACATAAATATTTTAGCGCAGATACACCTTCTTTTTAAAAAATTACAACTTTCGATTCTGCCTCAGTAGAACTTCGTCGTCCTATTGAAGACTTTTCGCTCTGAACGTCCTGAAAATTTCAATAAAAATAAAATAAATTCCAATTTTGCCACCCAAATCAATGCCCGGCTGAACATAAATGTTTTCACGCAAATTACACATTCTTTACAAAAATACAACTTTTGGTTCAGGTTTAGTCGCAACTTGAAATTTTC